ATCGGCTCATCGTAGATAAAGTAATGTTATCTATTTCTTGAATTAATTTTGATCTATAAATTATTTGAAACGTATTCTTTTATAAATAAATTGAATAGATTATAATTTATAATACAAGATTAGAAAACGTTAGAAAATATATGAAAAGTTGAATAACAAAATAAGGAAGATTTGAATAAAAATATTCATTTATAGAAGTACAACACTAACAATTAGTAAGTCAGTATTAGTAGGCTTATTCTAAGCGATATCTTTAGCACAAACTCTTTCTTAATTTAAAAATATTTAATTATTTGTATTCACATTTTTTTTTTCATAATATTTTATAAATAAAGGTGTGATCATTTTGGACATTATTCTATACTTTTATTATAACGAATATACTTTACACTAAAAAAAAAAACCAAACAATATAATAATATGTACAGGAGTATACACTATACGGATAATTAAATTATAATTGATTTATTTTTTTTTTTAATTTAAATTAAGTTATTTTGAATCCAAGAACACCATATTTTTTACAAAATGTGACTAGAATACTAATATATACATATAAATTAAATACGTAATATATGTCTGCTATTATATTAATGTATGTACTCGTATATGAATATATGATGTACGAATCACTAATATTAAATTATAAATACTACTAATAATAATATTTTAATATAATCATAATAAATATTCGATCGACAGCGAAGACATGCGATCATTTCATATTCACATATTATGTTTGGGGGTAAAAGTAAACTCTATACTCATATCATATTATAGGTGAATATAATAATATGTATTATTATTAACGTCGTCATAATACCAACTATATTATATAAACATATACATATAATAATATGTATATAATAGTACCTGCAGCAGGTAATGCATACCTATAATACACGTTTACCGCTTGAAACGTATTCGTTTATACATTTTTCTTCTTCGTTTTTTTTTCTTCATCCCCGTGAATGGAGTAATAAAATAACATTTAAACCGGAGGGTTGTGTGCTTCGGGCAGCGTGAGAATATATACCTATATATTCATAAGATACATGTGTAGCTGTATAGTGTATTAGTGTATATATGCATATTATGTAATATACTTATGTTTACGTATATATATATATATTATATTATATTATATTATAGGTACCTCTTCGCGCGTTATAGCTACACGGTATAATCGCGAGTTATTATTGTGACGAGGGATCTTTAGAAGTAATATTTTAATATTCGTTTATAATGATACGTATATATTATGTATTATATACATGCGTCCATGTCATATTATTCTGTTAATGTTAATCTAACCTAACGCGCGCGGCGTCCAATACAATAACAATGACATCGATGATTTATTTGAAGAAATACAGTTGATTTTGATCCCTTGTCGTCATGACGGGTGTTACATCCGTCGTATAAAAATATTGTAAATTACACTTAAAAAAAAATACGAAATACCGTTTTCAATTATTTTAGTGTTTTGGCTAGAATAAATATGTCAGTATTTGGAGAGACGGTTCATGGCTCAAAATTGTATTGGTACACGTATACATATCTATATATGTATAAATATATATATACGCATAGAAACGCGCATGTGTTATTTTATTTCCAATGATTGCGTTCGTTCATTTAGAGGCACACGCTAAAAATGACGTTCTACGAGCTACCTATGTGAAAAAAAAAATAACACAGTTTAACTTTTTACTGTAAAAATATATACAACACAGGCTTAGGCCTGCAAATACAATGTAATGTACAGTGAGCAGTTGATTATTATCTATAATAGGTAACAGTTGCGGTTTTATTTCGAGAATTAATTTTTTTTTTTACATAAAACGCAATAATTGAATATGATATAAAAGCGGAAACGCAAGCGGACCATTCGTATTTATAATAATAACCGTAAGCGTAATATTCTCGATGTCTTTTTTTTTAATAATAAGTCACTTAAAACGCAGAGACCTCACAAGGAGTAAAACGTATCCTTATTGATGCACCAGCATATATCTGCATCAGTGAATAGTGCATTACAATACGATCGTATCGCCAAATCGTTAGTAGTTTGTCTTTCAACAGCGTTCTTTCCTAGTTATCTATCTATATATAAGTCATTTACTTACTTTTTAAAATATACATTATTCATATAACCATTACTATATTATTAGATTACGATATTAGAAAGATCGAGGTTCAGGTGTTAAGTAGAAAATAAATTTTGCATGGTTTATTAACTACGAGTATAAAATATTTGTAAACAGTACATTTTCAATGTGATTAAAATTTTAAAGAATGATTTTTTAAAAACAATAAAATTATTTATTTTTTTTTTTTAAATTAAAATGTGTTAAAAGGTTTATCGTTAATTTTGTATTTTTAACCACGTTTTTTTTACTGTTTTTGACATTTTACGTGATAAAAAATATTACATATATTGATATTATATATTATGTAATTTTAACAACAAAAATTAATAGAGTCGATTATGGGCGATATAACGTTACCATCAAAAGTGTAATATTCTTTTTATTTACCAATAATTATTTCCACCAAAAAATAAAATGTAAACATCTACCAATTCTTATTTTTACTAAAACTGCTATTTCGCCTTTTCACTATAGTATATATTATATTATGGTAGTTAATAGTAACATTAGTATACATTTGGAATTCTAATATATATATAAATATATAATATAGTGAATAATTTTATAAAGTATAAATTATACAGTATAGAATACAGTATTAAAGTACCTATACATATATATATATATTACACGCATTGAGAAAACAAAAAAATGATTTAAATATCTGTCTAGTAAGTGGTAAATTTGCATGCTCTGATCAATTAATCTTTTATTTAAATATTATTGATATATATTGGTATCATTAGAGATTATACTCTATGAATCTAGCTTATTTCTAACGAATTATTAAACACCCTACTACTATAAAAACCGTAAAATTTGATTTAAAAATAATACCGGCAAAAAGTGATAGGTGGCTATTTACAAAATAAAAATTGATATTATTCTTGTCTTTTTTGTGCTCATAGTTTTCTAATATAACATCTTATGGTGGGTATGAAGTTTAGAAATTCTAAACTTATTCCTTCGCCTAAATATTGCATGAAATGTGGTTAATTAAAAAACGGTTTTTGGGCCTTTTGTTATAAAATTTTTGAAAATCATATTAATAATTAAAACAAAAGCTAGAGGGACAATACATCATACATTCTAACCTATTTCTAACGAATTTTTAAACACCCTACTACTTAAAAAATCTTTTAAAACTTCAACACTGTAGCCTGTAGGGATTATTTGATAATTTATTTAACCATTCAAGTACCTAATAATATCTTGTGTTCAAAACACATTTTTTTGTGACATTCATGTGTGCTTACCTTTAAATAACTGTATCAATGCTTTCATAACAGGATTAGATTTTACCCATACTGTCTATCTATAAAGACTCTTATATTTATTTCCTGTCTCGTGTAACGCCCTACGCTTAAAAAAGACCACTAGGAACTTATTGTACAGACTTTTTTTTTTAGTTTTTTAATTTTTATATACCCCTGATTTAATTTGATTTATTTTTTTTTGATACGATTTCTAAAAAAAAGACTATTCAAAAAACATAGATTTTATTATTATACTCATCTCATTAATGTGAAATTCATAATTTACACTATTGCAGGTCATAAATTATAATACAGGTCTATTGCGTCAAAATTGCAAATAAAAAAACCAAAGGATTCAAAAAGCTTATAAATTAATGTTGCCGATCGATATTTTTGTACGTTTTGGCATATACCTACCTATCTATTATCTACATTGAAACATTCAAGACCGATTTTGACGGAAGTTTCAAAAAAATACTCTCAGAGATAACAACAGGAAAGTTTAAAATGTAGTTTGAAGCACGTTCAATAACAATATATTCAATCCACCACAGGTGAAGTTAACAAAGTGATGTACACTGAAACTGATTTTCCGTGAATCGGTGAATCTACATTAAAACCGAAATACACCGATAAATCACCGTATTTTATGTTTGTTCATTTTTTATCGGTCGAAGTCGGGTTTACAGTTGGTGTGTATAAACCAAAGTCTATATTATAATCGATAATGTCGTTATTATTAAACAAACAGCGATAATATTATATGTAGGTATTTATGTATGATATACACGTTTTAAAATGGTAAAAATTACACATCTCAGATATAATGCAAAAAAAAAACTGCGATGTCACATACAAAAACCTGAACCACAATTCAGATTTGACTTTTTTTTTAAGTTAATTTTTGGAACGCAGCTATAATAAGTATCTATCTGTAAAACCATAAAGACAATAATAATTTGTAGTTTCGACTAAAAATGTGTGTTTTTCGAATTTCGTTTCTATTATAATATGTGGCCGTAAGCATGGCGTAAATATACGTACAATGTACAAATAATCTATTGTTTGGGTGGTAATTAAGAAAGTTAAGCCGTTAAAAGTAGGTACCATCATTGATTAAATATATATAAATTATAAATAAGTATATTTAATTTAAATATAATACTTCTATCTACAGACCAACAGACCTAGATAACTGACTGGCGTAGTGGTGTCGAATAATTTTCAGTACAGTTTTACATTTTTACTCATATAGTGAAGTGAAGTGTGGACAGTGTTACAGTGAACATAAAATTCAAATAGTATGCAAGAAACATGAATAATCGCAGAGATTCTTGATAGAAATTATTACAGAGTATTAATGCCATCTATGTAACAATTTTTAATTAATTTTAGTATTATCATTATAGAAATTAGTGGTTACCACGGTCTTTGCGGTTATGGAACTATTATCAACACTGATAACATCATTATCATTATCAATCAATGCCAGTTTAAGGTTACGTATTAAAATGCAATTTAAATTTCAAAAGCAGGAAATTTTTTTTTAAAGTATTATTATTACTTTAATAGAATAATTTATAAGTTTATAATTTAGTTTAAAAAAATTCAAATTTATTACTACAGCGGTGTGCAAAAAAAGAACAGTATGCATTAACTATTTTACGAAATAAGTCTTATTATATTTTTAAATAATTACATAGTTTATGTTTTATCGTTTGTATGTTCTAGTTTATTATTATTTGAATTAACTATTATGGGAGTAGCTGGATCTCATTTTATAAAGCGTATCCGAAGGTTTAATGTAATCGAACGGACAGAACGAGTAATAACCAAAGACAAACCTACACCAGCGCCACTGCATAAAGCAGATGCTGATCGGTTGAAATACCTTCTAGAAAGTAATTTTAATCTAATATTATGAGTACACACGTTTGATATTTTTCGATAATTATTGTTTACAGATGATCCACAATTAAAAGAAGAGCTAAAGAATAAAAATTCAATTCTTGGAAAAAATTTACAAAGTGTTTATGTTACATCTAAAGGCGATGTAAGTAAATTATATGAATTATGTATTATTGTTCTTATTAATTGTCAATAACAATTACCTTAGTAAAATATGTAAAATAATACATTTTTTTTTTTAAAGTTACCCGATGTATACCCACAATCAAAAGTCAAGTTACCACAAAATCGAACACAAGACTTAAATTCACCATTCACATTTGAAGAACCAGAACATGTTCCACCAGGACGGTATACACTTACACAAATTACTGAATGTATAGCTGATCATTATAAAGATAAAAAAATGTACTCATCACAAGTTCTAGCTGATCGAGTTAAAATTGATAAGAAATTAATGGGTGTGTATATAATATACATTTATATAATGTTATGTTTAATACCATTTAGGAAAATTTGACGATAGATATATAAAATAATGAATGTCCTCAAAATAATCCATTTTTATTGGTTAATTAATTTTGGCAAAATATCTATTGTTTACTTGGCGATAAATTATTACATTTTCTTTTAACGTTTAAAAATCATATAATTGTTGATCATTAATATTTAAAGCTTATAATTCCATAAATGTTAATTAGAACTTGTATTGATGAATTATTTTAATTATAATTCATAATGTTCGTTTATGTCTACAGAAACAAAGTCTACTTTATAACCCAGTATACTATATATATTTTAATTTTTTCAATTCTGTTTGCGGAACATTAAACTAGAATTTTAGATTATAACTTCCTTTGATTTATTAACTCTTGTATTCTGTAAATGCGCTACATAATTTATTTTTCAATGGCTACCTCTATTGTTTTTATAAAATTTATCAACCTGTAAAAATGGTACTTAAAATAGAGTTTGCTTTTTAAAAAAATAAAGTTATGTTACTCATGCACAGCAGTATTCATGAGTTGAAAAATTGTGAATTTAAGGAATTCATGATCCAGTAGTCTAGTTTAATGTTCCACTAACAGAATTGAAAAATTTAAACTATGTACAGAGTTATAAAGTGGACCCTGTTTCTGTGGACACATGGTAGTTTTAAATTATTTATAATGTTATTTCATTTTTTTTCGGAACAAAATGTTTATTTCAATTTGTATTATAAATAATTTCTATTTAATGACTACAAAAATAGTATAGAGTCTTTTAAGTTAAATTTATAAATCTATTAAGTACATTTATGAAATAAAGAGTTTACAACTCTTAATGAATATTGTTATTTCAAAATTAATCTTATTCATAATGACATATTTTACAGTTTAACTATTTTGTTAATCAAGTGCTAAAGAAAGCCTAACAAAAAAAAAAAGAATTGATAAAATAATTTTTATATTTATAAAAATGTGGTTAGAATATTAGAATCAATAGTCATTGGACTTTTATGCATTCAGCTTGTGTAATATAAATCATTGCATAACATAAAAATTTAAGCACAGCTTTATAAATATCATGTTTGCTGATATTCAAAAGCTTTTTAAGTTCCTCTATAAATTTTCCTGATTACTAAGTATCTACTAGAAAATCCTAAAGTTTTTTTTTTATAATTGTATCATTCAGACTTCTTTTTTAAACCTTTAAATGTTACTACATGTAAGTATTTAATTAAAAATAAAACATTGTTAAATTCACTAGATTTTAAATATTTACATATGCATAAAGTGTAAAATTTTAAATTATTATCAAAAGTTATTAATAATACACCATAGCTCATGTTCATAAAAATATCTTTGTTTTTGATTTTAAAACAACAATTATAAATTTTATAAAAGTTACAAATACTTGCCTAATATTATATGAATATTTTAAAGCATATTTTATATTGTGTACAATAAGACTATATTTATGATTTATTGATTGTTTTGTTATTTTTCTTTTCAGATAATATACTAAAATACTATAGGGTATTCGATATGTATATACCTGAAAAAATGTTAGAAAAGAAGACTTCAAGTAAATTTTTTATTAGTAATGCGATTGACAAGATTAGATATAACTTAGAAATGGATAAATATAAGGAAGAACGAAAACAGATTGGAAAAGATTAAAACACCCTTGAAAATATTGTTAGTTAAATGCTTATTATCACATAAAATAATTTCTCTATTGTAAAAATTATTAAGTTTGATGATAAAAGTACTTCATTGTTATATGCTTATTCTTATGTTATATTTTTAATAAAATTAATAGTGCTAAATATTATTCAAGAGAGTTCTGTGTGATGTATTATGTTATAAAAGTATCATTTTAAAGTTTATGTAGGATTGGTATAGTATAGTATATTATTCAAATTGTAATTGTGATATTTATTATTATTAATTTATGCAATAACTCTAATTAATAATTATAGATGAACATTATCTACAATGTATTATTAAATTAAAAGATTAGATGATAGGAGAAATGAATTAGTATTTCGTAGAATACCACCGTGACACTTCAATCCACTCGTTTAAACTTTAAAACTAATTATTTAGATACAGGTTAAATATTTAACTGTTATCGATCAAATTTTTTTTTAATTTATCAAACTTAAAATGTATATTATAATTTATTAAAATATCAAATTTAACATTTAATATCATAGGCTACGTATTATTAGTTGTAAAATTCATAGCTCTCATAGAGAACTTCCCATTAATCAATTATTCACTAAATACACACAGCCATTTTTCCCATACAAATGATACATACAGATACTTGTTTCTAAAATCTTTAATTTTTTTTAAGTTTCAAGTATATTGATAGACCATAACATTTTAAAATAATAAGATTATTTATAAATTGTTCTAGATTGTAGAAGGATACACATTTGTTTTTCAAATTTTAACCTTCATGTTTTTTTTTTTTTTTTTTTGAGATTTGATAAGCAGTTTATTTTTTTAATGTTAAAATTTAAATTTAAATAAGAATTTTTTGAGTAACATTTGTTAAAAATGTTAATTTTTTAATTTTAAGAATAATTTTTAATTTTACAGTAAAATTCTTAAGTTTAAATGTCATATTAAAATTTGAAAATATAATCTTGTTAGTTGGTATGCCTTAAATTTCCAAGAAATAATTAAATTAAATTATTTAAGCATACACATAACATATGATAACATATTAAACAACTATTTCATGGATATAATGCAACTTATTAAATACTGATTTAACAGTCTTAAAAATTTTCAAATAAAAATAATACACTAATCAATTATTATTAGTCGTTAATATGGTTAAAAATCTTATAATTTAGCATATCCATGAATTTTACTCTGAATTCAAAACGAGTGAAATGCAAATTTGATTGAATGATATTTTAATTCTGAACACAACATTTTACTAAGTATATTATATTTTAGATATTGGTGCAAATAACTATTTTTTATATTATTACTGCACATCTGTATGAAGATTAATTATGGATTTGGAGAAGTTTTATACCAATATAATAAAATATTTGAATTTGATGGTTGAGCATGAAAAATTTATTTTTCATAAATTCTTTCAAAATAAATTTTTATAGGTATCTACAAGTTTTTTCACTTAAATAACCTAAATACATCAATCAGATTATTAAATGAGTTAAGTTACCTTATTATTTATCATTTTAACTTTTATTTATTTCAAGTTTAAAAAACTAATTATTAACTTAAATCTTAACTTGCATTATTCTATATGAATTAAAAAAATATTCGACTTTTACTGATTTCCTAAAGCTACCTATCTTTTAATAATGTGTATCGAATAATGATCAAAGAAATTTCATTCCTAGAGTCAAAAGTTTTTAGAACTAATGAAATAATTATTAAACTTTTTCTTTAACCCACATCAGCTGAAAAATCAAGGTGATACAAAAAAATGTTAAATCTTTATTTACTTGCATAGTGTTGTAGGTATGGCACTATAAACTGTCATAATTTATTAAAAATGATATTTAAATTAATATTATTTTAATATTAAATAAAAATGTTATGCATTATAGTTTTATTTAGTTAAACGTGTAACATAGCTTATTTACTATTTTAACTTTACAAATTAATAAAAAATTGATGACTCAAATTTTACACAGGATTTGTTTCAAAATTTTTGAATTTTTAAAAAACAATGGTGGAAGGGGACGCTTAGTGGCCTATTGCAACGCCATACAATCGTTTTATCTTTGAAATACATTTAAAATAAATAGTAATTATGAAACATCAGCGTAGAATGTAAATATTTATTAATTTTTTTAAATTTGTACGTTTACTAACAAATCAATACAGCGTTTAAAACCTATTTTTAGTTTTTAATTTTTTTTTTACACTAGCCAATATGCAGGTAAATTTTTAATACTATAATTCTTTAGATAGATGACTCCAAAAAGGAATTCAATACACGTACACTGTTTTGATTAAAACATGCATATCTTTTGTTCACAATATCAACAAAATAAGTATTGCGAATAGTTCAATAAATGTAAATTTACAGAGAAAATATTTTTTATTCGTTTTAAATTTTATCTGAGTTCGATCATCTTATTTTTAAAATGTTGACTTTTCCTTAAATTTGATTTGAAACAATAATTATTTTAACAGCAGTTAATAAAAATAAAAATAAAACAAGTTGGATGATCAATCTTAAGTAAACTTCATAACAAATTCGAATATGTTTTTAGATTTCTTGTCGCATTTCCGGCATCTTTATTCGGTACCTACGTTGAGTACGTTGCACCAATGGGGTTATACGATTTTCAGTGAAAAATATATCACTTGTCGACTACAGTTTAGTGATATTATGTGTGTGCGAGCCACGCCTCGCCATCTCTTTTCTCCTTCCACTAAATCACACATTCTCGTACAATAATGATATCTATTACACACACATTCATACGACACACATTCACGCTGTTGGAAAATAATCAACTATTATAAGGAATTTTTATCGAATCTCAAAAAATTGCTGTATTTATCGAAACTGTATATTGTGGGTGTGCTGTATCAAAGACAAACTCAGTCGAGGTCAGCGGAGGGGGGATTAACAATATTTTTACAAGACTTATAAGTTATAACCGATATAGTATTATAATAAGTATCAAGTGAAATATATGCCCAGCAAATAGAGAGGAGCACCTATCTATTGTCCTGATCGCCTTACCCCTCCTAAATCTATACAACGTAATGGCTTACGTATACTTATGCTATAAAATCTGTTTTACAGTATATTTAGGTACTATATAAACCTGATATTTAAGTGGTTCACATATTATATAGGTAATATTGTCAAAATTATGATGTCGACGGAAACTTTAAATAGTTATCGATTCAATATCCTGATAGACCTTGATATTATAAATTTTAGTTAAACATGGCTAGTATCAGACACTAGTAGTTATAATCGCATAATATCATTCTATTATAGTAGATTTTTACATATTATATAATGCAGTGTAACGATGATAGTTATTTAGTAGATTTTTAATAGTGATAATAAAAATGACTGTATACTTATGATATAGGTATTTAATAACAATATTTTAGTATGATTTATTTTTTTACCAATACCTGCAATACCTACCTACGTTTCTATTGGCTACACGCAACTATTATGTATTAATAAATACATTTATTTATAAACATTTATATTTTATATTATTTTCTTATAATATTTTTGAGAATTATTTAGCATTACCACGAAAAGACGATTCTCATTATCTTCCAAAAACTGTTGTGTAAAAATATAAATTAAAAAATTGTAGTGTAATAATGTATACATCTATTTTTTAAAGTAAAAAACTATGTGTTAAACGTATTCACTCACTGATATTTCTTTATTTTTATATTTTGTAAGTGTTCTTTCTAAGAGTTCTCTCTTTTTTTAATTTTTATATTTTGAAATTGAAATGGTGCATCTAGGCTGTTGATTTTAATGTACGTTTCTGTTTGTAGTTCTTTTAATTTTGCAATGACGGCATATATATTGGGGTGAGTGGGATTGAAACTTGAATTAAAATGCGCATGAAATGATTCATGTGCATTAGGTAGTTGTTAAACACTATCAACTGATACACAGGCTCACATATCAGGTAGGAACATATAGCATCTCCTACATATGTATTGACTAAATAATCTGAAAATTTAGTAACTTGATTATCATTAGGTTTCAATTCCATTAAAGTAAAAGTAAAAAAGTCTGAAACATTTTCCGGCTCTAAGAACATTAATCCATAACAATAAATCAACCATTTGCTTATTTCCGAATCTTTTGTTTTGTAGTCTACACATCCATTTTGTTGTATATTTCTATACCAAACTTGTGTTATGTGAAATCGGCATCCATATATTATAATGTTTTGCCAAATAAAATTACAAGCGTGATGAATAGCTTTTTTAAAATCATTGAATATGGCTTTTAGTTTAAAATCATAATTAATAACCTTAAATTTTTCACGAACGTATTTTAAACATAAAATATATGTATCTCTAGTTTTTCCAGCTAATAAACAAAAAAACAAACGGTATGTAATGATAATTTATATAACCATGTATTGTAAACATCTGTTTAAAAAACTTGACACAAGTTCCGTGAATATATATTTATATTTTGACGTGCAAAGTGTTTTTAAATTGACATCACGGCTAAAAATTATTATATTTTTTTGTCTATCATTAATTAAAAACAATTTGTATTTCTTTTTGTTACTATCTCCATACTTTATAATACCTCATGTACTTCGTCGATCAAGTTTGGTAGTGCCGACGTTGACTTTCTTTTGGCGTTGTAAATATTCCTCTTAACATACCGAGTATCACTTACTTGCAGATCTTGCGCATCAGGTACATTATGTACGGCATTACAAAAATTGTATTTGGCCTAGTATAGATATCCTCAGTTGCTTTACGTTTGGGCCACGGTGGTAACACATTGTCGTTGTAGTACTTGGTCCCTGATAGATTCATGCAGATGATCATCATTTTTCTCCGTTATATCATTATTTTTTCCAAACTTTTTAAAAAAAGCTGTACATTTGCGATTAATACATCACCATTTAATTTAACGTCGTTTTAAAAGTTCAACACGAAAATTAAATTATTTGTCTTAATGTTTTAACATATTTTAACATTTGTTAGATACGTTTAGATACGTTATTTATTATTTACAGGTTAAATTATGTCGTGCTCATTATATATTTTATCGATAAATATTATCGGACCAAGATAATCGACTATAGATAAATTTTT